GCCGAAGCCGGTTTCACTACAGAACACGATCAACTTCAACCTCACCCGCATCTGATTCTCTCCACCCAAACCCCCCACATACAAACCTCTTCAATCACCGACTTCATGCCACAACAAACAAAACCCAACAAATCCACCGTTGAGCCACAGAAAAACTAGGATACCCCAAAACCAAGTTCCTTCAATAACCCACAAGAACACAAAGCTAATCAAAGAAAACCCAAAAAGGGGAAAAGGGATAAAATCAGATCTCAGCCCTCTAAACGCCAAAAACCCAGAAGAAGCAGGAAGCAAAAAGAGAGGTAGATCTCAGCACAGTAGAAGCAAACACCAGTTCAATTGAATGATGTGGGAATACAATGAAGAAACAAAAGGGCTTCAAGGGTGGAGCCACGAAATGGAAAGCTGCTGAAATTACAGAACCAAATGCTTTGCTGCTACTCAATCCTTTGTGTTCATCAAAGCCCTTTAAGGCTTTGCCTCTCTCGAATTTGTGTGCGTTCTATTGATGGGTACTCTGTAAAACAGGAACACAATCAATCAACGCAACCAATACTATTTGTGAGTGTCTTTTCTGTAACCAGGGATTGGGGAAAAGGTGAGAGAGAGCGCGCGCACACACACACACACACACTCTAGAGAGTAGAGTCTAGAGAGAGAAAGAGAAAGTGGTGGAAATCGTGTGATTTTTATAGAAGCAGCTCCATGAAACCAAGCGTTTCTTCTTCTTCTTCTTCTTCAAATTTACATTTTATATTTTATATTGAATGAAAACTATTTTTATTACTTTATGGATAAAAAAAATTCAAACAAAATACATTAACTAAATTTAAATAATTGAACGTTTGCTACGAATTTATCTGTCTCTAATATTGTTTTTATGCACAATATTAGGGTTCGAGAGAGCATCCCGAACATCGTCTTGCTTGGTTGGGATTTTAAAAAATTGTAAAAATATATTATGTAAAACAGTTTTTTTAAAAAATAATAATAATATTAAAATAGAAGATTGAGATGGAAATGGAGAGAAGTTTACTCTACAGCTCATCTGAGTTCGTGGAAGAGATCTGAGCCGTCGATGAGAGAGTAGGGCCCAGGAAAAGATCTGATGAGACGTGATGTGAAGGTGTTTGATTGGTGGGTTATTAAATGTATTGTGTAGGAACGACACAAATAATTATTGTCCCACGTTCCAACATATCAATCACTCTCCCCATCACATTTTTAACCATTTTACCCAAAATTCACCGTTTTTTTCCTCAATTTCTGCCAATGTTGGATAAAGTCTCGACCTAATATCGTAATTTCACTCTACCTCAACCCTACTTAAATGAATACGAGATTGGATGCAGCAGCACCTCTAGCATATATTATTTACTTTAACAATCCAGTTACATATTGTTATCAGCTTCACATTTTTAAAAAACATCTATTAGGTTGAATGTTTCGCTCCTCTAAAAATAATAAAAAATATTAAGAATTAATTAAAATAGACGTAACATGGAAAGTATTAAATCATGGTACGAAGTGGAGACAAGAACATGATTGTTTGGTCTTGAACCAAAGCTAATGGACAACTCTCTAAACCCCTCCAGCTATCTTATTTTTCTTACTTTTTTCTTTTTTTCCTTTTTTGTTCGTCTCGTATAATTTTCTTTTTCGTACTTCCCTTAATTAATTAACTATTAACTAATTAATCATTTATTTTCTTTAATTATATAATATGATTTAGAGAAGTGATCCTGTCGTAGTGGAAATATATTTATTAAAAATTATACTTTCTTTTCAAAAAAAATAATAAATTAAATCGTCTTTTAAAAATATTGGTGAAAAATATTCAGTCAAAAGGGCACAAATTTATTAAATTATTTTTATCAATTAAATGTATATAATACTCTCTAGCTTTCTAAACCAAAATTTTAGACCAAATCTCGTAAATATTCTTTTTAGATTCTATTTGGTGAAAAAAATAATAATTATTGGTGAATTAAACTTTATAATATCCAACAGACGTAGATATTTTTTTTAAAAAAACAGTCTTTATATATATATATATATATAGACATTAATGAATGGGCCAAATATGTGTCACAAAATCAAAATATGGACTATACATTATACACTACAAGTTGTAAAACATGAATAATTCAGATAAAGACAAGAAACACCTCATCATACATAAACGCAATATGTTTAAAATATATTTAAAAAAATAAATAAAAATATAAATTTATCGAGAATGGCAGTTCAACATGGAAATTGATAGCCCTACTTCAAATTTCTACAATTATTGATAGATGGCATCGACTAGTTTACATACTAAAAAAGAATCTAAATAAATATAAATAAATTGATGATGAGATTTAATCGTAAAGTAGATGTGAACGTATTAAATATTTGAAAACGATGTGTGTGAGAAAAAAAAATTCGGTGTATAATTTGGAGTGAGCTTTGTTCGAATGATTGTCAAATTGTTGACTTTTGGGTGTATGATTTACCACCTAGACTGTGGCAATATTGTAGCGGACAAACATTAATTTCTCCGAACTATGATTTTTCATAACATAGCTATACAAATTACCACATTATCTGTACGTATGATTTAAGCTTTTAACTATATAATTAAAATATATCAATTTCTCTCTCTCTCTCTCTCTCTCTCTATATATATATATATATATATAATAATTTAATAAATAAATTATTATATATTTATTGGTGTGGTGAGAGAGAGAGAGAAAGTGGGGATTGGGAAAGAAAAAGAGAGATGCGAAGAAAGGGACAGTATAGGGATTAGATTTGTGGTCCCCACTCGTAAATTCTGTCATTAGATTTTCCTAGTTCCACTTTCTTTTATTTTTATTTTATTTTTATTTTTATTTTTATTTTTAACGCCAACCCGAATCTATCCGAACCTGAGGGTTGGTATTAGCAAAAATATCAAAGTCTCAATTTCAATGAAAAGTGATGCAAAATATCGATGCTTATATTAATTTATTTAAAAATAAATGAATAATAAATATTCTAATTTATAATTCATCCATTTTTAAAATAATACTAAATATCTCGTCCACTAAATTATATATTAAAATTAACGGTTTTTAAATAAGTTAAAATGTTGATTATTAATATTATATTGAATTATAATTAATACCATGGTTGCAAATTGACCCTTCCATAAATATTTGTTTTAATGTAATAGAAACTGAATTATATATTTTTAAAACAAATTAGAATAAATAAACGTTTGAAAATGAATAAGAACAATGACCACCAACCAATTATCCCATTTTTTAAAATAATAATAATTAATAATTAATAATAAATAATAGTTAATATTATTATAATTTTTAAGAGAGAATCAAATGCCAATTAGCAACAACTTTACGACTAATAACTAAAGTTTGGGAAGAACAAATCATTTCTAAGGCCATTGTGTGGGGCCCACAAAATACCACGCTTTCAATTTCAATTCCTTAATTAGTCTACAAAAAAAAAAAAAAAACATCTTAATTGGTATAATTAGTCGTTAATTATGGTCTCTAATCTTTGTCGTTAAGGACTTTAATGTTTGTCCGACAATGACTTTTAAAATTATTAAATCAAATACATAAATTACTTTCTAAACCAATTTAAAAGAATATAACAAAATTATGAGTTTATGGTTAATTTAAAAGATATACCGTTTTTATTATGATTATATATATTTATTTATTTTTTTATACCAACTATTCCTTTACTTTTATTTAAAACAAAAATAGAATCTTTACCAATTCAACCTTTAATCAAAATTGTTTGGATTGAAGAAGTTTACTATCAGAACAATCTGAGTTAGGCCTAAAAAATGTCTCACACCGATCTAACCTAGCTATGAACGCTTCTAGTAATATCCGCAAAACTTGTGAAATATTTTAAAGTTTAAGGTTGTATTTATCTCACCTCCCTTTAAGGAACCGACTTTATTTATCAGTTGTTGACCATATCTTTCGTGCCTTAAAGGGATTATTCAAATTACCTTTATAAAATAATAATTTTTTTCTAACGAATTTTTTAAGATCTTTAATAAGGTCCCACTTAAATTGTACCAAAAATTTAATGAGAAACCCTAAGTCTCAAAGGGAAAACAAACACAAAATCAATTTAGGGTTTGTAAAAGAATTTCCCTTTTCACTTTGTCTCTTTTTTTTTATTTTTTTTTAGGGTTTTTCTCTAAGCTTTCCTTATGCAAAAACAAGAGAGAGAAAGAGAGGGGAGAGAGAGATTGTTTCTTAGATCATGCTTTGGGTGACATTTAGTTTCCAAATAAAATATATTTTAATTTTAAAAAATAATAATAATTCCCTCTCTAATCATTTATTTATCATAAAAAAAAAAAAAACAAACATGCCCCATTATTGCTAATCATTTTCTTGCTTAGTCAAATCCCTTAATTAATTTTCATTAATCAATCAATTAATTAATTCCATCAATCTAATCCCCTTTCTTATTTGCTAAAAATGGCATTTTTTATTTCAGGAATATTATCCTTTTTTAGTGGGGTTGACTTTTTTTCTTCTCTTATGACCATTAATTAAGTAAAATATTAAACCAAAATTACAATAATGATATTTGGATCAATTTATTAATGGCGTCCTAACTTTTGGTTAAATAAATATTGGGGATTTTCTAAAATAAAAAGACTGAAAAATATACAATAAATTCAGGTATTTGTGGATCCAAGTTTGAACAACTTTTAGGTATTCAAAGCATTTAAAATTAGGGTTGGTATAAGTAACATCACTTACTTATTTTATAATTTTATATTATAGTTTTTTAATTAATATTTATTTGTGGGACAATTGATTTTAATCCATCTCATATCATGGCCTAATTTATACCAAATTTATATTTTTAAAGATTTTCATTATAATAAAAATAGATTCATATTCATATAAGCTTTATTTCCATAACCATTTGATTTTTGATTTTGAAAATTAAGCTTATAAGCACTATTTCCACTCATGTGTTTCTTCGTTTTATCGTCCAAATTTGATTAAGAGTTCATTCAGAAGATTAAGAATTTGGCTAAGACAGATCAAGAAACTCAGCTTCAATAGCTCTCTCTAGTGGATTATCTACCAATTAAGAAGCAGAAACTTTATATTTAGAAGTTCAAAAAGGACAGGATGATCACTCATCTTCTTCGAAGTCCATAAGAAAATCAGTCAAGTTCTCAGAGTCGTCAACGGCTCCCTCCAGTGATGCTGGATCCTCCTTCTTAGGCTTCCCCTGCATTTTCCAATACATATTCTAATAAATAGATTTCAGAGAATCTACCAAAATGGTTGCTTAGTTTGTTCATTACAAGAGTGTATAAACTGCAACGGATGAACACAAACATATGGATCTTGAAGTGCACATACAACCAGAAATTGAAAATAAAATGAGTTAATCACCTTAGACTTGTTGAGATGAGGACTGCTTTTCAAGACACTCCAGTTGCGTGTGATTTTTTCCTCTGCCTCTTCATCGCCCTCAACCTCACTATCCTCTCCATCCTTGATAGCAATTCAAGATGAACATGATTGGTTTATAATTATCATGTGTAAACTCTATTTCATAGGTGAAACGAACAGCAAAAAGAACAAATGAAAAGACATGGACAGGAACTCACGTCATTTTCACCGATATCAATAGCTTGGGACATGGCATCATCCAAATCCGTCACCTGTTTCAAAGCAAAGACATTAAGAATAAAATGAGATACATATCAATTTTCAACATTCATCAACTTTTTTAAGGGCAGTCTTCATTCAACTTAAATGAATGGTCGGTTATTTTTCTCTCTACATAAATCTTTTTCTCATCACTGATATAATCATCAGTATTCAAGATTTACGCGCATCTTGACCCATGGGGCAATCACCTAGACCTACATGGTGAAATATGGCCTAAACATGTGATCTCAATGTATCCGAGCTTACCTTATTGCTTAACCATGGGGCTAAGTGACGATTTGTAACATAAGAAAATATTAGAGCGAGCACATAATAAACGAGGAAGTCCCGAAAAATTATAAGGTCAACTTTGAATTTCATGCTAGAACCAATGTGCCAAATGTTGGAGAACACCATATGCCAAAGAGTACGTTTATTTTATCCAAAGATCTAAGTTCTATGGTGAATATAGAATATTCTATCAAATTTGAACTTCATACTAGAACCAATATGCCTAATATATCGATATATAAATACCTCAAGCTCCTCGTTCTTTTCTTTAGCCAGTATTTCTTCAAGCTCCGTTCTTGATATAATTTTACCATGCTGATTGAAAAAGGGCAAAAAGGAAAAGGTCAGTACCTTGACTGTAATCATCACAAGCATCAACCTTCGTCATTATACTACTCTAGCAGCTGCTAAATAGTTTTTTTTTTTTTTTTCTTTTTTTTCCTTCCTTTTAACAAGACACAAAACTTCATAAAGATGAACAAAAACTGAAACATCCTATGGATGAGATATAAAAGCACCCAATTAATTCAAATATCATTATAAGAGAATTAATAATCAAATGTGATATTGGGAGGCCTTGAGTTTGGCTAAGTCAAACCCCTGAAAGCTGCTCACTAGTTTATTAAAATCAAACTTTAATTGGAATATAGGACCTTGAAGGGTGCAGTGGGTTTGGCTGATAGTACATATGGCTAGCAACTTCTACTGTGCATAAGAAACCAACGTGTCTGATCTAGGTCCACTATCAACAAAGACACAATTAGAACGAGAGAATTGCTAGGGTGGCTCTGGTAGTGAATACTTGGTGGGTCAATAGTGTAAAGGACAAACTATATATATTTTAACAATTTTAAGGTCATTGTTCAAATTTTGATGGCGACCAATTTAGGACATTAATACCCATAGATTTGTATGTCCAAAATATTGCAAGATTAGATAATAATGCCATGAGATTGATTAAGGTGTATACAAGCACTCATGATTGTGTATGAGGAAATGAATTAGAATAGAAGTAGACCCAAAAGTTTATATCCAAGGAATGGATATTACCCAAAATTTTTTAAATGAAGGCTCGTCATCCCACTAATCAATCATAGAGCTGAATGGACCCTACTACCTGCTCCCCAGTCATATACAACAATATATTTCCCCTTCTTAAGCTTCCTACTTTGTGTTTCGAACCTAGGAGTGGTATCTAATCTGATCTGCTTCCTACTTTGTGTTTCGAACCTAGGAGTGGTATCTAATCTGATCTTCACAGTGCAACCGAATCACAAAAAATGGAGAGAGTGAAAAGAAACTTGAGAAAATAATAAGCAAAGTAAAGCAACCTCCTTCAGGTAATCTAGCATGTCAGGTGTTGGTTCAGTAAAATCTGGACCCCTATAATCAATTATTTCATTGGGATCTTGAATGTAGTTAACGGTAGGGTACACAGGATCGCCACCCCATACTGCAAAGGCCAACAACAAACCAAATTAGCTTACAGTTTACTTGGTAGAAGAATATCATGTATCCAATCAATCAGAACTGAAACCACTCGATAATTGATACTATGATAGTAATTAGTAACAAATTCTTTGAATTTGAAGCCATCATAAATATTGAGAAATGGACCCAAGAGAGGTTGGTGACAAACGTAATGAAAACCAAAATATAAAAAAATATGCTTTAAGGGAAGGAATAGGATGAAAATCAACTTATTACAGTTGGTTGGAAAAGGAAAAACTCGATGCAGGAAATTCCGGTGATAGAACAACATGACAATCAATGAACAAAATTGAAAATAACAAACAAACAAACTTATCAGCTTTGGAATGGATACTTTGTTTAATCTGATCTTCTCGCATACGCATTGCCAATGGATCCCGACGAATGCGAATATCAGTCCCCATCATTATGCGAAACTCTCTCTCTGTTTGATTTTGGAACATTTCGATCATTTGGGTATTTTGATCCTCTCCAGTCTCTTCAAAATGTTTTTCTATGGCATCCTTTGAGGTGTCCCTCTTCCAATCTTTGACCCATTCTGAGTAGAATGCTATGGGACCTATTCTTTCCAATCTCTCCTGTTCAGCTTGAAGTCTGAAGAGAGAATCTGCTTATTATTAAAATGTTCCTAAACCACAGAGACACACAAGCAGTCTTGTTCGGCTTGAAGCCCATAAACGTAGAATTTATTTGTTATCAAATTTACCTCAACCAACGACAGTGTACAAAATATTTTACAAGCCTACGTGGTTAGAAAACAAATGGTAAGCACATGAGATTAGAATCAAGAGGGAATTACTGAGCATCAAAATAGAATCCACTAGCATTTTTTTGATTAAAAAATAAGTCCTAGAAGCTAAAAGGATCCAATAGATTTCCAAATTCCATATATTTTATCGAGTCTAATGCTGCTATGTATGTATGTATGTATAGTAAGAAACCAAATTTTCATTGAAAAAATGGAAGAATACAAGGGCATACAAAAGCAAGCCCCAAAAGAAACATAGTCCGACACTAACTACAAAAATGGATTCCATTCCAAGAGAACGAGACCAATATCATAATTACAAAATAGCCTAGGAATCGACATTACACAAGGAAGCCTAAAACCTAAGAACATCCCAAAGCTCCTCACCCAACTTCTCTATCTCCCAAAAAATCCTATTATTTCTCTCAAGTCAAATACCCCACAGAACCTAGCATGCCATAATTCTTTCTCCTTAAAGTGATGATTCAAAAGCACTTCCTCCAATAAAGAATGCCCATCTCTACAGAACACCCCATTAACCCCAAACGAGCTCCTGCAACGATCCCAAAGGTAGTTTGCAAACTGACATTCCCACAACAAATGGGGGTGCTTTAAGAATATCTTTCACATTCAGTACACCCTAAACTACTAAATGAAAACTTTTGTATCATAATATCACTCAAGCTAGGATAGAATACCTTTCTTCCTTGAAAAGATGTCGCCGAGCCCTGTACAGAGATGTTTCAGTTAATGTTGGATGTTCGCCATAAAGCTTTATCTGCCCGGTCTCTGCCATTGCTTTGAGAAAAACCTACAGATATTAAACAAGGAAGGTCAGTATAAGATCTAAAGCCATTTTTCTTCATTTAAACAAGATCTAGATTTGTCTGTTGCGTAGTCTAGTCATTAAACACAAGAAAAATAGATCAATGAAGAGCGCCTTCAAGATTCATAGATTCTTTTTGTGTGTGAAAAAATAATTTCACCTGTAATCCTAATTTACACTGTTTTGCTAGTATGCAAGCATCAAATAGCAGTCGTTGATGCACAAAATATGCGTCTGTAATAACAAACAAGACTTAAGAGGAGACGAGCAATTGGAAATAATCTAGGACACAAATTCTGTATTTGCACTTTACACTTATGGTGCCCGATATAGCAGCATTTTTTGCATCACAAAGCATGTTTTGCATGGAGAGGTTCAAATTCCACTCAACGCAATTAAAGAAAGTACATATGCTAAGTTCGTTGTTTAACCTTCACTATTCTATTTATTATTTTTTTTTTTCCCATATGCACTAACCGTTTCAACATCAGCTTTCCTCCTTTGCCACCTAGACCATTGTTCTTTTTCTGGCTTTCTCCAATTCCACCAAAGTTCTTCACTTGTACGAGGCTCCTCTATTGGCTTCTTCTTTTCGGGGTCAATGAATGGGTGAGGATTTCCAAGCTTTTTGTCTAGATCAAACCCAGTTTCTTCGTCATCAGGTTCTGTCTTATAAACAACATACTGCGAAGTAGCATCTTTAGGCTCCTCTATTAAGTCCTCGGAAATGTCAGGGATCTCTGAGTCGCTTGAATCTACTTCAGTCACTTCGGATGAATCAGAACCAACAGCTGCTTGTGTTCTATTCTTCTTTCTCCTACTTCCCGGCTTTTGGCCATAGGAAGGAGAGCCCACTGATGCACCGGTTGGCGGGGGAGCCCTTGCAGCTCTAACGCGACTAGCAGTTCCTTCTGGCCAGTATTCTTCTCCTGGAATACTTGCACGTGCCCCTGAAGCTGGTTCAAGCTGCCCAGAAGTTGAGTCCATGTAAACATGGTATGGTGGGCGCTCCACCGATACATCTTCATATGATTCATCCCCATTCTCACACCTGATGCAAGGAACCAACTGATTTTTCTGTAGTGATTTTTTCAAAGCATTTCCCACCAGAACTAATCGTACTGGAAATGAACCAACAAATGGTGTCTGGATATTCAACAGAAAATTCATGCGCATTAAGACTGATGGAAAAAAAAGGATGAGCTAAGACAAAACCATTCTTATACTAGGTTGAAAAAGAAAATTTGCAATCATTACATTAATAAACTGCAAACCTTTGGGAAATTGGACAAAGGTTTCCCGCCAACACACCCATTAGCATAAAATACTCCCTTCCTTCCTCTATCTGCAATTCAACATCATTGGAATATCAGAAATCAATCACGTTCTTCGCTGGCTTATTACAACTAACAGATTCTGTATTGTTAATTAGATCAGCATAAAAGCTGTTAAGCCGTAATCTGGATAATGCTAGCACACCTGGATATAGACATGGAGTAGATAAGGAAGCCATCTCCAACTCAGAAGAAAGCGTAAACAAACCTGTACACATTTTCTCATTACAATACAATAAATTAGTTCAGAACATTGGGAACAACAGGAAGACCACCAGGTATTCCCCGGAAATTCTTTTTCACAGTCTTCATTAGACGATTATGTTGCAAAACGACACTGATGAATCGACCATATTGAAGCCGGAAAACAATAACATTGCAGAGTGAACAGACAATTCATCGTCCGTTTAACCAAAATTGAGAGGATACTAACATATAAATAAAAGAAGGGTTTGGAATATGAAACTCACAGTTGACAATTGAACAAATAATTCCGGCTGCGGCCAACTCCGGTGCGATTTGAATTGAGCTGGCGGGCTCCGGCGGGTTTAAGCTGAGGTTTTTCGGGCTCCTGCAGCCCAGAGAGGCGATTCGACTCAGTTTGAAGTGGATAAGGTTAAAAAGGGTTCGAAATTCGGTTTGTCGTCTCGACCCATTTTGTTTAGGTTAAGTCAATAATTTCATCCCTTATTTATTTATTATTATTCAAATAAAAAAAATAAATAAATATATATATATATATATATATATTCATAAATTGAAGTTGATAAACTGCAGATCTAAACTAAATAATTTTGGTAGGCAATAATGGAGCTGTTGACCGGCAAAACTTGGAAAATTAATTCAGATCGTTGTCGTTCATTGACCGTTGTTTGGAATCAGAACAGTCATCTATAAATGCTAAATTAATAATTTTATTTTAGGATTAATTTCCATCGTTTTTTGTAATATTTTTAAAGATTTTAAATATGAATAACATAAAATTTGATTTTTTAATGAAAATAAAACGTTATTTTGCAAAATATATATTTGTGTTTCTATTTTTTTTTTAATTAACTAATTCAATTTCTACACATATTTTGAAGGGTTATATTTCAAGTAATTAAAAATTATAAAATGAATTTTTTTGAGGGATGAAAATGGGATTAAAATATAAGAGAAATATAAAACATTATATTATATTTGGATAAAAGGTGGAAAATCGAGTGAAAATAATTGGAATTGTAGCCTACCAATAAAAAAGCTTGAAGCTGTTTTTACATTTCAGTCCTTCAAGGCAGGGTGTTCTTATTTTCATTTCATGGGTGACTTCAATCTACCACACCCACGACAGCCTCGTTTTCGGGCCTTTCCGATTTCACGATGTTTATGGGGCTTTCCATTTATGTCTTCAATCCAAACTTATGGTCAAATTCTTTCCGCCAGGTTGTTCCCCCATTCACTTGATCTTCGGCGATTACTTGGTGTTGCCCAGCCGTGTTCATTGGTTTCTTTTGTTTTCTCTTTCCGTCTAGCATTTCCTAAATAGGGTTTGTTCGGACAAACATTCAACTAAGATCATAAAAGGAAACGAACCCCGCTGATTTTGGGGTTCTACACCAGTTCTTTATGTTTCCTATTGCAATGTGTTGGTTATTCTCAAATTTGGTGATTCCAAAACCCTGTCTTTCACATTCATTCGATCTCCTGGTTATTGCGGTATGCGCTCTTGCTTCTATATAGATTTTTGTTATTGCATTGTATTGATACACGTCCGGACGCTGGGCTGAAGATTTCGTGGGTCAGATGAATTGGTGTGTGTAATTTATGGTTGTTGTAGAGTACGTTTGAGCCTATCGTTAGGTAATTTGTTTTTGTAGATGAAGAAGCTTAAAACAGAACCTCCTGTTGCGAGGAGGTTCAGGTTGTCGCATTTTCTTCTCGTAATTGGATTGTTGTATTTAGTTTTCATATCGTTTAAGTTCCCACGTTTTTTTGAAATTGCTACAACGTTGAGTGGGGATGAAAGTAATATTGGGTTGGATGGGACAATCGGAGTGGATAGGGAAGGGGTGGATTTTAGCAAAGCATCGTTGGCTTCTGTTTATAAGGATACATTTCATCGGAAATTGGAAGATAACCAGCACTTAGAAGCACCATTGATGCCTAAAACAGAGCCACTCGAAGAGGTGAATAATGTTACCGGACCTATTAAGCCGATTCAGCATAAATATGGTCGGATTACTGGGAAAGTTTCGAGTCAGCAGAATCATACTAATGACTTTTCCATCCTCGAGAAAATGGCAGATGAAGCTTGGACATTAGGCTTGAAGGCTTGGGAAGAAGTGGATAAATTTGGATTAAATGAGACTACTGAAAGTTCTATGCTCGAGGGAAAGCCCGAGTTGTGTCCTTCATGGATATCTACGGAAGGGAAGGAACTGTTAGAGGGAGATGGAATCATGTTCCTTCCTTGTGGGCTTGCTGCAGGTTCATCTATTACAATAATTGGAACCCCGCATCACGCTCATGTGGAGTATGTACCCCAACTTTTGAAGCTGGGAGGTGATCCTACGGTTTTGGTTTCACAGTTCACGGTTGAATTGCAAGGATTGAAATCAGTTGATGGTGAAGACCCACCAAAGATCCTTCACTTGAATCCACGACTGAAAGGCGATTGGAGTAAACGGCCGGTCATTGAACATAATACATGTTACAGGATGCAGTGGGGAACGGCTCAAAGGTGTGATGGCTTGCCATCAAGTAGCGATGATGAAATGCTTGGTGAGATTAATCTCCTCCTTTCTGTTTTCTTGTGTTTTCATCACTAGCATTCAATCACTCCCGTGTGACACTCATACCCGGTGGTGGTGTATGATGGCTGCAAATGATTGTTCTTCTCGACAATACTGTAAACTAGTAAATGAGGAATATTTTCATTTTGATCCAGCTAAAAGAAAGAATTTGTTCAGCATGTGTTTTTCCCCCCTTCTACTTATAGTAGGAATTCTTAAGTTGCTTCGAGTCTTAGCTCGTATTTGATAGTCTAAATGTGCATTTGAGTTCTGTTTCTAGACGGATTTCTTGTCCTCATTGAAATCTAGCCAGGAGTCCTTATTTTCTCAATCTATGGTGGGGAAGGTAAAGGTTATGAAATTTCTGATCTTGATTTATTTATTTTCCATTAATTTGAATCTACTCACCAACGACTTCGATTCCCAACTCAATTTTTTCCATTCTTTTAGCCGTGCTATAGTGCCAATGCCATCTGACATTTTGTTCCCTTTCAATCCTCTAATTTGACAGTTGATGGAAATCTTCGTTGTGATAAATGGCTGAGGAGTGATATTGTAGACTCAAAAGAAACAAAAACATCCTCATGGTTCAAGAGATTCATAGGGAGGGAGCAGAAGCCAGAAGTAACCTGGCCATTTCCCTTTGTGGAGGGTAGATTGTTTATCCTCACACTACGTGCAGGCGTTGATGGATACCATATTAATGTTGGGGGTCGGCACTTGACTTCTTTTGCCCATCGCCCTGTAAGTATGTGGAGAAGAGGAGGCGCAGATAGCTATTTCATCTTCTGTGAATATTCATTCGTGTTTGATGTTTTTCTTACTGCTGCAGTTGGTATAGATCATCTCTCCCATGCTGTTTAAACATTAATTTTCTTATATCTTTGTTCGACTTTCATTTAGGGATTTACGCTTGAAGATGCAACTGGATTAGCTGTTAAGGGAGATGTAGACATTCATTCTACATATGCTACATCTCTTCCTACCTCTCATCCAAGCTTCTCTCCCCATCGAGTTCTTGAGATGTCAGAGATATGGAAATCTCAGCCTTTACCAAAGAAATCGGTCTATCTTTTTATTGGTGTTCTATCTGCTACTAATCACTTTGCGGAGCGCATGGCTGTTAGGAAAACTTGGATGCAATCTTCAGCTGTGAAGTCATCAAATGTAGTTGTTCGCTTCTTTGTTGCACTGGTATGACTCTTGTGTTCATCCCTCTAAGTTATATTTATCGAAGTAGATCGAAGAATGATAGTTGTTTTCATTGTTGGTGTTTCTGATGCATGCAGAAGATGAAGAATCTCTTAACTTTAGTTAATGTATTCTGAAAGTGTTCCATTTTTCTGGCAACAAAATCTATATATGCTATTACCTCGGACAATGGAATGGGTTTACATATGAAAGGAAAACAGCAAGAAAGCATGCAATGGTTAGCCATGCTGGTTCACATTTTTTTAAAATAAGAATTTATGAACTGCGCTGCAATGTTGTATTGTAATCCTGTGAGTCGGATGTGTACTTGTATCAACGCTATTGAAGCAGCGTTTCATATTTCTTTTCATTATTGTTATTTTGTATTTCTTCTCATGTATAAACTCGCCGTGTAGAATCCGAGGAAGGAGGTCAATGCTGTGCTGAAGAAGGAAGCCGCATACTTTGGTGATATCGTGATCCTGCCCTTCATGGACCGCTATGAGCTAGTTGTTCTCAAGACTATTGCTATATGTGAGTTTGGGGTGAGTTTGCGTTTCCCTTCTTCTGTTTATCAGTATTTGGATCTTCTTCGTAGAACTTTGTTGTATAAACTGACTAGTGTTTGACTTTAGTGTACGCTGTTTTTCATTATGTGTTAAGTACTCCACTTTTCTCCTTGTAGGTTGTGAATTTGACGGCTTCATATGTTATGAAATGTGATGACGACACCTTTGTGAGGGTGGAAACTGTTATAAAACAGATTGAAGGCATTTCATCCAAGAAGTCCCTATACATGGGCAATCTCAACCTCTTGCATCGCCCTCTCAGACATGGAAAATGGGCAGTCACATATGTGGTAAATTGAATAAAATTTGGCTATTTTGTGCTTTTATCCTACTTGTTGCATCCTTGAGTTACAATGGCTTTTGGCTAATCCACCAGTACTTCTAGATCACTTTCGTCAATCAAGAAATGTTTAGCATAGCATTGCTGCTTGAAACTAAAATTAGCCATTGACATAACTCCTCCTAGGCTAGCACAAAGGAGGGCTTTTTCTGATGGAAAGAACTCGGTATTGTTATTCATCAACAAGAGGGTATAAACCTAGGGAGGACCGGGTAGCTTATTCGCTCCCGACCTGATTATCTCAATTCTCATCATAAAAATTGTGAGGTTCCACATCGATTGGAGAGGGGAACGAAACATTCCTTACAAGGGTGTGGATACCTCTCCCTAGCTTACGCATTTTAAAACCTTGAGGGGAAGCCCTAGAAGGGAAAACTCAAAGATGACAATACTTGCTAGCGGTGGGCTTGGGCGGTTATAAATGGTATTAGAGCCAGGTTCCGGGTGGTGTGCCTACGAGGACGCTGGGCCCCCAAAGGGGTGAATTGTAAGGTCCCACATCAGTTGGAGAGGAGAACGAAACATTCCTTATAAGAGCGCCTGGAAACCTCTCCCTAGCAGACGCGTTTCGAAACCTTTTGGGTAAGCCCTCGGCGGTGGGCTTGGACTTCACAAAAATATACCCCTCACAACACTTGCATTCTCTAACATTTCCTTCCCGACTCTCTTTCATTCCTATTTCTCATCACTTAATTAAATTACAAAAGTCGGCCCACCTAACCCTTTCCTTTAATATACATTTATCACTGATAGCCTATCACTCTCTTTACACCTTTTAAACAAAAAGCTTTGAACAATCCTTTTTGTTTCCTTTTTCATGCGAATGATTTATTTCCATGTACGATTACAGGAATGGCCAGAAGAAGTGTATCCTCCATACGCCAATGGCCCAGGATATATCATTTCCATTGACATTGCCAAATACATTGTGGCTCAACATGAAAGCAGGAGCTTGAGGGTCAGTTTGAGAATATAAGCCTTGATGTCTCTGTTTGTTCGTTCGTTTGTTTTATACCGCTTTTGTGTATTAACTTGATGTTTTTGACATGAAAGATATTCAAGATGGAGGATGTGAGCATGGGAATGTGGGTCGAGCAGTTCAACAGCACGGTGGCGATCGTTCAGTACTCGCACAGCTGGAAATTCTGCCAGTATGGGTGCATGGAGGACTATTTTACAGCACACTATCAATCTCCAAGGCAGATAATTTGCCTGTGGGATAAATTAACGCAGGGCCACGCTCACTGTTGCAACTTCAGGTGACAATTTTCCACAATTTTTACCCGCTCTATTTCTACCTGTGTTTATTGTTCAGTGTTAGCGTTACAAACTGTGATGCATTATAACTGTTAATTTTTTTTTTCTTTTCTTTTTTTGTTTCATCAACAACAATTTTCCTGTATAGATTATAATGTGGAATGGGAATTTTGATATGAGGTAGCATGATTCCTCTTGTTATTTCACTTTCACCCCAAACTCTTGATCTCATAGTTATTTTCTATATACGAGCCAGTTTCACACGCCACAACCTTTTTTAATTATTATTTTCAATTTATACCTAATAAGTCAATTGATTTTCGTATCCTATTTAAGAACTGGTTAGATATGCCATGTTATAAAGCAAATGATGATAACGACTAAGCAACTCAATAAAAATACGATATGTTAAATGGTATAAATATAAACCCGAGCAAGTAGAAACAATTTGACTTAATATTAAAATATTTGAATTTATACCCCTACTTGTCTTTAAATTAAAAGGGGAAAAAAAAAAAGAATATTTTGTTGTTTTTGCTTTTGGGAGCAATCTTAATTTAAAAGTTTGAGGAATTCAATGTTGGGAAGGATAGGATAAGATGAGCAAATTGCAAATTGCAAAAGAAAAGGAATCTTCTTTCCCTCCCATTGGGTCTTGGAATTACATGGCTCCTATCCTTCCCAATCAAATTTGGGGGAATTTTAATATACATTTTTTCATTAATTTCATTATACTTAAATACTACTATTAATATAATATTTTTTTAAAAACTAAAATTGAGTAAAACTAGATATTTAAATAACTAACTAACAAACAAATAAATATACGTGTGGAAGTGTGTTCGCACGTGCCGGGACCATGTCCGATGTGTCAGTTATCAACTTGCTTTTGTTCCTCCGTCGTTGCCGACACGACACCCGTCTGCCTTGCTGGATCTCATGCCGTCCTGGCGCGTAATCAAAGACAACGGAATAAATTTCCCGGTAGGTCCAACTCTCTTACTGGGTCCCGCTTTTCTGTCGGCAGCTCCGGCGCGTGCTCCTCACGACCTCCACTGCCAAACAAAACGGTTTCTACGCGGTCTTTGGATGCGCCGTTAAGATTCATATCGGGACCACTTGCTGGCAAACACAAGCGTTCCCGCAAAGAAAGATATCCACGTGGCGCGTCCAAATCGCGCGCGCGACGGAAATCGGGACGTGGCTGATATTTTTTTTTTTTAAATTTTATTTGCAGTCACGGAATTTTTATGATACTTAATGAATGACAAAAGTACCCTTTCGAGTTATTTTTTAATAACAAAAAGCGCTTATAATTTAAGGTTTTTTTTTTTTAATATTATTTTTAAAAATCATACTAAATTCCACCGGACGTTATGTTATACAATAATTATTTGTCTGCACAATCAATGCCATTTGATTAATTATTATAATTGTAATTATGTGAAATAAATATATCATCTAACGAATAATTTGTGTAAATTAAAACTTCCACAACTAATTAGAAAAATACATAATCAAAATATTTATTTAACAAAAAAAAGAAGTAAAGAATTTATACTTAATGTGCATATTCCAAACTTTATTGTAATAGAAACTAAAAGAATATATATAAAATGGGATATACCTTCTCTAAAATAGCTATTTTTAATGAATTTATAAATTAAAATTAAAACTTTACCTCCATCAATTTTGTACCAATTTTAAAAATAAATAATTAAAAAGTTAAAAATAGATTTATTTTTCCCTTTTTTAATTGGGAAAATTTAATTAAAAGTGATTTTGGATGGAGCCGAAGCACTGATTCCAAAATGGAAAGAAAAGAAGGTGTTTTTGGTAATTTGGGAGTTCTCCCGAGCCCTGTCCCATCGTCTTCAATCCTCTTCTTTCCCGCTTATCCGCTCTCACAGTGCTCTCTCTGAAATTGAAAAGCATTGAAGAAAACGATGAAACACGGATCCAACCCCACAACCAGCTACCCACCAAATCATCCAAATTTCATTCCAAACCCCACAACCATCCAGATTTTTATTCTCTCTTCCTCTCCTTTCCCTTCTTTTAAGCTCACTCTTTCTCTATGACGATGCCATTTCATTTCCTTCCCTTATTCCTTATAAACATCCCACACAACCACCGTTTTCCAACGGTTACTTTATCCCTCTCTCAATGACACAGAAAAGAAACGGAAAATCTAGCAAATAAACCCTTTAAATTTGCCTTTACTTGCATTCTTGTAAGAGTGGTGAAGTTTCTGGAGGTGGGTTTTTCCAGATTCAGCCAGGAGTTGAAGAGATTGCCGTTTAGAGACAGACCCAGATGGATTTATCTTCGTTTTTGACGTCCTTAGGGACGTCTTTCGTGATATTTCTGATTTTGATGCTTGTTTTCGCTTGGCTTTCTTCAAAGCCTGGCAACCATGTCGTTTATTACCCGAATCGAATCCTCAAGGGTCTTGATCCCACCGGCGGGTCGAGGACTAGGAGCCCGTTTGCTTGGATTCAGGAAGCTCTGTCTTCTTCTGAGCAGGATGTGATCTCCATGTCTGGGGTTGATACTGCTGTGTACTTTGTGTTTTTGGCCACTGGTTTGTTCTTCTTGTCTTTCTCGAACGTTTCAGTTTCAATTCGAATCATGTTCTTGTGTGTTTATATTGTTTTTAGTGTTGTTTCAGTGCTGGGGATTTTTGTGCTGTCTGCCGTTGTTCTGCTACCAGTTCTTATTCCAATTGCTGTCACAGATGATGGTATTAAGAATGCTAAAATGAACAATACCCAAACCGTTGAGACTTTCAGTGAACTTGACAACTTATCCATGGGAAATATCAATGTAAGCAACGCTAACCACGTTTGGTTTAGAAAATGAAGAACAAAAATTGATACTGAACTGGGGGCTTGGCCTTTATGTTGGTTTGGTACTCAGATTTGAGTTTTGACTTGTTTTCATATGCAGCTGCGGAGTAATCGGCTATGGGCCTTCTTATTAGCCACTTACTGGGTTTCCTTTGTGGCATATTACCTGACATGGAAAGCTTATAATCATGTCTCAGCTCTGAGAGCTGAAGCACTAATGTCTCCAGAAATAAAGGCTGAACAATTTGCCATTATTGTTAGAGATATCCCTCCAGTTCCTGAAGGTCAAACTAGAAAGGAACAGATTGATTCCTTTTTTAGGAAACTTTACCCAGATACATTTTATCGCTCAATGATCGTCACAGACAACAAAGAGGTTTGTTCATCATTTCAACTCTCTCACTTTTGCTTGATCTTGTAGTACGTTTTGTGGTTCTTTTCTGGTTGAAATATCTTTCTCTGTGGGATTTTTAAGAAATTTTTGAATTGTATTCAACAAACAAGATCGATTTTGCCTCTGTGAATTGTATTCAAATGGTTTTGAATTCTTCCACATTATTTGATTGTCATTCATCCTTCCAGGATTGCTTGTGATTCAGTTACTTACATTTCACCAAACACTGTTTGATTTAAACTTGTCGCTACGAATAGAGTTCGTGTTGTATCCACATATCTTAATGTTGAATGTTAAGCAGGTCAATAAATTGTGGGTGGAATTGGAAGGGTACAAGAAGAAGCTCGACCGGTCTGTAGCGGTTTTCGCAGCTTCAAAAACAGAAGCCAAGCCAGAAGGTGTAAGACCAGCACATAAAACTGGCTTCCTTGGTCTTGTTGGGAAAAAAGTTGACAGCATAGAGTTCTACTCCGAGAAGATCAATGAGCTTGTCCCAAAATTGGAATCTGAACAAAAGGCTACTCTCAGAGAGAAGCAGAAGAACGCTGCTTTAGTCTTCTTCAATAACCGGGCAACCGCAGCTTCTGCAGCTCAAAACTTGCACGCACAAATCGTTGATAAATGGACTGTTCTGGCAGCTCCCGAACCTGGCCAGCTTATCTGGGCTAATCTTTATATAGATTTTATTCATAGACAAGTAAGACAATACATCGTGTATGTCATCGTCGCACTGATGATTCTCTTCTACACGATTCCGATTGCTGCAGTCTCTGCTATTACCACGCTCAATAATTTAAAGAAGTATCTGCCATTTTTGAAGCCAGTTGTGAACATAGGTGCACTCAAGAGTATTTTAGAAGCGTTCTTACCTCAATTAGCTCTGATTATCTTCTTGGCTATGCTGCCCAAGTTGCTTCTCTTTCTATCTAAATCTGAGGGAATTCCTTCAGAGGGACATGCTGTGAGGGCTGCTTCTGGCAAATATTTCTATTTCACTGTGTTGAATGTTTTCATTGGAGTTACTTTGAGTGGTGCATTGTTTGAAACCTTGGAGACCATCCAGAAGAATCCTAACTCTCTTGTTCCCTTGTTGGCAAGTAGTCTCCCAGGCAGTGCAACTTTCTTCCTTACCTATGTGGCTCTCAAGTAAGCTCCCGATTCTTAGATCCTTCAATTTTCTTGTTCGGTTTTTAACTCTTGTCGATTTCTTTTGACCTGTTCCTTATATATGCATGTATGTAATATGATACTTGAATTGAAACGGTTTAGACATATCGAGACCATTGGTAGTTCTAAATGTCTAATGGTGTAGATTAAGAACCTAAAAGTAGCAATCGTCGTTTGTGAGCTGATTTTGGTTCTGTTGTCGTGCTTGTTTGTTAGGTTCTTCGTCGGTTATGGTCTCGAACTATCTAGGATCGTTCCTCTTATCATATTCCATTTGAAGAAGAAATTCCTTTGTAAGTGTGAAGCTGATGTGAAAGATGCCTGGACTCCTGGAGATCTTGGTTATGGAACTAGAATACCTGGCGACTTGCTCATTTTCACTCTAGTCCTCTGTTACTCCGTCATAACACCTCTGATTGTCCCGTTCGGCGTCATATATTTCGGTCTTGGATGGCTTATTCTTCGCAATCAGGTAAAGTAAATCGATCGTCAATTTTGTGCCTTGTGATCATTGTTTTGTTTGCGTTAATGTTGGTCCTTGTTTTCCAGGCCCTCAAAGTTTATGTTCCTTCCTATGAGACCTATGGAAGAATATGGCCACATATATTCAACCGTATAATCGCGTCGCTCTTGTTGTACCAACTTACGATGTTCGGTTTCTTTGGGGTGAAGAAATTCTTCTATGCTCCAATCTTAATACCACTCCCCATAATCTCCCTGATATTTGCCTTCCTTTGTCACAATAAATTCTACCGAGCGTTTGCTGATACCGCCCTTGAAGTCGCTCGTTATGAGTTGAAGGAAGCTCCCAACATGGATCAAGTGTTTAGATCTTTTGTTCCACCAAGTTTAAGCTCTGAGAAGGTTGACGATGACCAATTTGAAGATGCACGGTCGCAGGTTTCGAGATCAGGATCGTTCGTTTAAATACAAACTTGCGCCATTCTTGCTTTATTTGTGAATCTTGTGTGAAAATTAGGTGAAAAATGTTGATAGTTTGGGTAGGGAGAGATCATTAAGGTTAGATTGTGATTATTGTATACGTCACATTGTGTTTATGGTTGTTTCATTTGGTTTAGTTTAATAGCCATGAGAAAGGTAGGTGATATGTGTCCAAGAAGAATGAATTATCCATAGCAATTCTTCATTTGTGTGTACTTAATGAAATCGAAATAGTGCTATTTTCTTCCTTCAAATTTTGATGAACATTCATTGATTCAAGTTTTGAATGCGTATTGTTTAAGATTTGATGAGCCTAATGTATCAAATGAAAGTAATTGGAAGACAATTGAAATTCTTTCGATTTCATCCATGTATAAATTCAACCACTAAATTTGTAACTTTAACAAACTATTTATTCTTTTTCATGGAAAGGGTTTTAAAGTTGTGGCGTGTGCGCTACAAACAAAATTGAATTGGGAGATGGAGATTGGAATCGCCTTCGACGCATCCCGCTTAAACCACTGCTAAATCCTTACTTCCCGACGGATGATTTCTCTGCAAACGCTTTGACAAGTAATCCCAGTCGATTGTTTTCAACTCTCAAGAGCGGAATCCTGGTGGGTTTTGATTTTGATTTTGATTTTGATCACTGCAAGATGCCTTCGTCTTCTCTGTTTTTCGGACCCCCGGAAATGGTTGTCAAGAATCGCTTTCTGGGTTTCCTTATTTGGCAGTCCATTCCTTCAACCTTCGTCTTTTTCCTCTTTAAAATCTTCGTTTCAGCCATTTTCTCTGTTTCTGGTAGCAATTCCTCGAGTGCGGCTAACAATCCATCAGCCCCTTTTGCGTCAATGTTCACTGGATTCTTCACTTTTCTTACATTTCATCTCTCTCAACTCCTCTTCTCTGCATCTCTCTCTCTCCTTGCTTCGCCCCAGCTCGAGCGCCCTGCCGCACCGCTTGAGCTCACTTTTGGACTCGTTCGGTTTCTCGTAGTTTCAGGCGGTGACAATGCTTCACCGACGTCGGCGTTCAATGATTTTCGCCGTCGTGCTACGGTTTCGTTATATTTGCTTCTGTTTGTTGTGGCAACTGCGATTTCAGGTTCCTTGGCGGCCGTCTCTATATGTTGGGGGAAATCGGATGGTCTCAGAAGTGCTTGGCATACGGGTCTTTCGATGGGTCTGATTTATGGCGCTTTCTATGTTTACAACAAAAGATGGGTTCTAACGTTCCCAATCATACAGGTTAGTTTTTGTTCCTTAGTTTGTAATATCCATCACCATCATTTTCATCTTCGTTGAATCTCATCGCAAGCTGAGTGTTGGCTATCTATATATTCATACTGTAATTCTTGCCCCAGTTTGGGTGATGTTTCTTGATATCAACTTTCAAGATGTGATATTGTAATGTGAAAGTGTGCGAGTTCTTACATGTTTGAATGTTGAGCCATTAAGTTTCCAGTTTACTGATTTTCAAATGGTTTTTCTGAACAGCGTCCCCCATTTTTCAGCTTCAAGATGGGTTTTCCTGCAGCTACCAGATTGGCTTCCAAACTTTCTGCTGCAGCTTTCCTATTCTCAGCTGTATTAATGGTGCTTTTGCCTGATCAATTTAAGAGAAATGTTACAGTCAGGAAGTTCATAGCTAACCAGGCCATTATTTTCGTTGGGAGCTTTGCAATATTTCTTTCTTGGGAATTGACTCAACACTTGCATCAGGTGAGTCTGTTCTTCATATCATATATTTTAGGTTTGATACTCAAAACCAACTGTGTTTATGGTGTCATAATCTCGTTCTCATGCTGTATTTTGTGATCTGTTGCTTAAATATGTGGGTCGATTCGTTATATCGTTCCTCATAATTGCGTCGGTGTTGCAACAATCCTTACAATCCTTACCAATAGGATTGTTAGGCCAATATTACTGAACTTCATTCGGGCTCAAACAACACTTTTTAGGTCTTTAAGCTATATGTGTAACAGCCCAAGCCCACCGCTAGTAGATATTATCCTCTTTGGGCTTTCCCTTGTTGGACTTCCCCTCAAAGTTTTTAAAACGTTTATGTTAGGGAGAGGTTTTCACACCCTTGTGAAGAATGTTTCATTCTCTTCCCTAACTGATGTGGGATCTCATAATATGATTCTAGAAGCATTATGCTAAAAAATCATTTACTTGAAACTCTTTGACTCAGAGACATTTGACTTTTGCCATCTTGTTTTCAGTTCTACAAAGAGACGTCCCTCGCCGAATTAACAGCATGTTACGTTAATTCAAATATCCCGTCCGTTCGTCCATCTTAACAAACATGAAAATTTCTTTAGATGGGTTAGATTCTTACCAAAAAAATTCATCAGAGGGCTAGATACTCCATTCCATCTAAATTTCTTTTGTTTGGTGGTTTTCTATTAAAGATGTTTTACTTCTAATAGATGTTACTACTTTCATGAATGATGCAACGACCGAAGCCCACCATTAACAGATATTGTCCAAGCTTCCCTTGAAAGTTTTAAAAATGCGTCGGTTAGGGAGAGGTTTTCATACCCTTGTAAAGAATGTTTCTTTCTCCAACCCAATCGATGTGGGATCTCACAATTAATCTCTTTTGTTGTGATCATTTTAACAGTTCAGAACAAAACATTTGTCATGTTAAAGACAGCTTTTGCTCTTTATATTGTTCCTCTGCAAGTATGTCTTGCCAGCTTTTTGATTATTTAATGTGTGTAGGTCCTGCATACCAAGAGGTATGCGTTTGCACCTCCAAAGGGATCTGCAGCAGCAGAAACAAATCCCAGTGAGTACCTCTTTGCAGCTTTAGAGGACAGCAATTCAGGGTCTCTTTTGCAATATCTTGCTTTTCTTGATCTCTGCATGGTTTGTGAGAACAATGTGGATATATGGAGGAGAGCTGCATTTTTTGAAGAAACAGGTGAGACATATAAGCGAATTATATCCATTTCCTTGAAGCCTTTGGAGCAATTTGCACTGAACTTAGGCCAAGGTTTGGAAGGTGCTGTGGACATTACCTCCCAACTATCGCCAAAGGACTCTCACTTCGACGTAAAACAATTCGAAACTCTTAAAAACTTTCAGGTTCTTACGTTGTTTAACCTCGAAAATGAAATGAGTTTACTGTGAACATCTGTGTGGCTATTGAATGTTACTGATCCTGCTCCCTAAATTTTGCAGTTGTATGCATGGTGTGCTCGAACAGTTTCTATGTTGACTGCACGCTCACATGCTGAAGATCGATTTGGTGTTGCTCAACTCTCTGGTAGTAATGCAACTGTTATGTCAACACTGTTGTCTTGCCTGCTTGCTGTTGAAGTGTTGATGGGTAAGAAGACGACTATACAGTCTTCACGAGGTTTATTCGGCCCGGCTAGTATTAAATGGGCAACGTCAAGTATTGGAAGAGTAGATGCTTTGGTTGGTAAAAGGAAAAGTGGTCCGCTGCATTCGAAGGCATATGCTATTGCAAACGTATTGAGGGTGTCGATCTATGTCGTCGTTTCTGCATTCCATAACGAGATGGTGAATAGTGCCAAGTCCGGTGTTCTTGAGAAAGATTGGATCACTGGTGAAAAGCCCCTTTATGGTACTCGTGAGTTGCTTCTTCAGAAATTGCATATTTTCTTGGACTTTCAAGCTTAGATAGAACGGCGATTTCATTTTCCCCGTCTCGGCCCCGTTCGTCGAATTATAGCGTAGCGAATCACTTGTGAGGCAGTTTTGTTGTCTTTGATTCTGAAGAGTTAACTAAGCTGGTAAGTTTGTAGTTCATTGCCTTTCATAAACACCCATCTTTTACTTGAATCTTTGCATTTTGATCACACTTCGAATTTCATATCTTTTAGACACAGGGAATTAATTAATTGATTAAATGTTGGTTTAAATTTTATTTTAAAAAAATGAAATTAAAAGGACGTAATTTCTCATAAAATTTCAAATTCATTTACTAATTTCCATGCGATTGTATTTTTCATTCATAGATTATGCTGTGAAATTATTATTATTCACATCTTAAATATAAATTTAAAAAAAAAATAAATCATATCTTAAAATTCTTATTTTAATAGATAAGAAAATTAGTATACATACAAGTATAGTAATTGGAGTGAATATCTCGTGAGAAGTAAACAAGAGAACCAGTTTTGTTGATTGAGTTCGTCTAAATCCCAATCTGATAAGCCTTTAGTTAATTACGGCTCACCATGTGCGGCCTGTAAACTTCTAAGAAGAAAGTGTCTTCCAGATTGCATTTTTGCGCCACATTTTCCAGCAGACCAGCTTCAGAAATTCCAAATTGTTCACAGAAGTTGTGCATTTTTTAGCTATGATGTGCGCAATGAAGCTGTCGACTCTTTGGTCTATGAGGCAGAGGCTTGGCTGCATGAGCCTATGTGTGGCTGCATCCGCTTTATTTCAATTCTTCAAAAGAGACTTGAAGATCTTCAAAACGAGCTCCCAGTAGCTCGAAGCGAGCTTTCAACTTACATGGCATCAGAAACACAAGCTGCATATGTTCAGATTCCGCAGCCATTGCATGAACCGCGAGTGGAATAGGCTGAGAACCCATCAGAACTTTGGCGCAATCATCGGCCGAACAACGAACAACAAACCAAATCTAACGGCTCCTGTGATTCCTTTGGCATCTGGAAGGAAAATAATGAAGTGAATGAACTTAGTAGTTGAATATTAAGTTTGAAAAAGGGGCGGGACAAAATTCAGTTAATGCAATTACTGCAGTAATTGTTCTGTGTCATCCAGAAATCAGAATGATAAACAAGAAAATAGATTTTTGAATTTGACATTTCAAAGCAAACAAACAGAAGAAAGCATAATAGTGGTGTAAAGACTTGGTTGAGGTACTGAGATTTCAGCAATCTCAGCCACAAGCACAAACATGGGCGCTTTTGATAATTTGGCTGAAGGAGGAAGATCAAGGAAACTTAGAACTCAAGGACACAACGGTACAGCCTAAAGAACAGATCTCGTTCAAGTAAGGTCCTAGGAAGATTATGGATCTTTTAAAACTTTATGATTGCCAATGTGTTTACAACAATAGGAGAGCAGTGTCTGTATATGTAGAGCCACTGACTTTCAAAGTTCTTCCAAGTGACCATCTCGTAATCAAAAGGGTTCCATGAAGCTCTAATTGATATGCCACTGTTTTTAAACCTCACGAGACAAACTTCTCAACGTGAAGCTCTGATATCACAGTGAATTATAGTATATGAAGTAGGACTCAAATCAAATGCACAAAACCAAAAACTGCAGCATGTATAAGCAACTGCACAGAAATTGTAGACAGCCTAGTTGGAATGAACTTGCAGCTGAAACAGGGACGCATATGGAAAGAGCTATACCAAAAACGATCCCGTTCGTTCAAAATTACGTCTACGACATTTAAAACTAATAGAATCCAACTAGACAACTGAAAATCAAATATCAGACTAATGACTGCAATTAAAAGGGAACGAATCCCTTCATAAGGCATCAATATCAGCTGAATTTGTACAACTCAAAACGCATACATAAATTGAACTAGCATTACCCCGTAGCTATCTTGGCCATAAAACGCTTCCAACTGCTTGCATGAGTATAACTAAAACTCAAGATTGACAGAAACACAAAGTAAAACATACCATTTCTGCAGAGATCATTGTACTTTCTCAATACAACGAGAGGATATGAGAAATGTATGGCACCGGATTTACAAGTAAGCTAAGAACATTCATCCGTACCTGCTAAACGAAATCTTCATCAACCAAAACATAAAAGTATCATTTCCCTTCACATCCTTTTATTTTTCTTAAATAATTGCGGATTCAAAACCACTTTTCAACCCAACGACGACCAACAAAAATTTATTATCCAATCATCAAAACCAATGCTTGGAAACAAAAACCTAAACCTCGATGTCTTCGAAATTGGAGCCAATGGCTAGTTACGAACAAAATTTCAAAGAATTCACAGGACTATAACTAACATTTGAAAAAGAGAGAGAGAACAATCACCTGCATAACATTAAGACGATGAATCAGTAACAAGAAACCCGGACGGCGCGCGTCGGTGAAATACTGAGGTGGTCGAGGGGAAAATTTTATGGCGACATCAAGAGATTCTGTAGTAATTAGATTTTAAGGCGGCTTTATATTCAACAGTTTACAATCCCTAATCAAAACATCAAAATGGGACAATTTTTTTTGTTTTTTAAATTTTCAAATATATAATATATTTATTAAATATACAATTTTAGTTTTAAGAACATATAATATAGTTGAAAAAAAGAGAGCGTAAAATTGAAAATTTCCAAATATCTCATAAATAGTTGAAATGAAAAAAAATATATATATATCTAAAATTTATAATCTCTGAAGTTCCAGTTCCAAGTTCCAAGCATGTTCCGATGCGCTCAAACCAAGCATCGTATCTCGCTTCAACTTTCTCCACACAAACTTTCCCGGAAAATCACCTCTCTTTCATCCTCAGAAACTGCATTTCTCTCTTACAGTTATGCGGCTCCTCCCAATCCAAGTTGAAGCAAATTCATGCTTTCTCCATCAGACATGGCGTCCCACCCCCAAATCCCGACTTCAACAAGCACCTCATTTTCTCTCTCGTCTCCATTTCAGCCCCCATGTCCTACGCCACCCGAATTTTCCAACAGATTCAAGCCCCCAATATCTTCACATGGAACACCATGGTTAGAGGATTTGCCGAAAGCGAGAATCCCAGGCCGGCCGTGGAGCTGTATTCCCAAATGCACGCGGCGTCGTCCATTCAGCCTGATACGCATACTTTTCCCTTTCTTTTTAAGGCTGTTGCTAAGTTAATGGATGCTAGATTAGGCGAGGGGATTCACTCGATTGTTGTTAGAAATGGGTTTGATTCGTTGCTTTTTGTTCAGAATTCGTTGGTTCATATGTACTCTGTTTTTGGGTTTGCTGAGAGTGCGTACAAGGTGTTTGAGTTTATGTCTGAGAGAGATCTCGTGGCTTGGAACTCTGTTATTAATGGCTTTGCTCTTAATGGAATGGCGAATGAAGCTCTGACCCTTTTTAAGGAAATGGGTTCTGTGGGTGTGAAGCCTGATGGGTTCACTATGGTTAGTTTGTTATCTGCTTGTGTTGAGCTTGGGGCACTGGCCTTGGGGGAGAGGGTTCATGTGTATATGTTGAAGGTTGGTTTAGTACAGAACCCACATGCTAGCAATGCGCTTCTTGATCTCTATTCCAAATGTGGGAACATTATAGATGCACTTAAGGTGTTCGACGAAATGCATGAAAGGAGCGTGGTTTCTTGGACTTCTCTGATTGTTGGGTTGGCTGTTAATGGATTAGGAAATGAAGCTCTTAAACTGTTTGGGGAGTTGGAAAGGAAGGGGTTGAAGCCTAGTGAGATCACATTTGTTGGAGTTTTGTATGCCTGTAGCCACTGTGGGATGGTTGATGAAGGCTTCGATTACTTTAGAAGGATGAAAGAAGAATATGGCATCTTGCCAAGAATTGAGCACCATGGCTGTATAGTTGATTTGCTGTGCAGAGCGGGCAAGGTCAGAGATGCTTATGAGTATATTCGAAACATGTCGGTCCCGCCCAACGCAGTCATTTGGCGGACCTTACTGGGAGCTTGCACAATCCATGGCCATTTGGAACTAGGTGAGATTGCAAGAGCTGAAATCCTACAATTAGAACCAAAGCATTGCGGCGACTTTGTCCTTCTCTCGAACCTCTATGCATCGGAGCGACGTTGGCTAGATGTTCAAAACGTGAGGAGGACAATGCTTATGAAAGGAGTGAAAAAAACTCCTGGGTATAGCCTCGTCGAGTTGAAGAATCGTGTTTATGAATTTATCATGGGCGATAGATCTCATCCTCAAAGTGAGGAGACATACGCAATGCTGGGGAAGATCACGGAGTCGTTGAAAATCGAAGGATACGTTCCTCGCACGGTTAATGTTCTTGCAGACATAGAAGAGGAAGAAAAGGAGACGGCATTGTCTCATCATACAGAGAAAGTTGCAATTGCTTTCATGTTGGTTAACACCCCACCAAGAACTCCAATTAGAATCATGAAGAATTTGAGAGTTTGTGCAGATTGTCACCTGGCAATCAAACTAATATCCAAGGTTTTCGAACGAGAGATCGTCGTAAGGGATCGTAGTAGATTTCATCATTTTAAAGACGGTTTGTGCTCGTGTAAAGATTATTGGTAATATTAATATCGTCTCCTTATTATATACCTCCATTGACGTCTGTAATTTTTCTTTTTAAGGAGAATGATGTTCTATATTGGTTTGATCAAGCTTTGACTGAAAGGTTGTGTTGGAGGCCTGTAAGGCTTGTTTGATAGAGAAGATTTTGTTTTTTTATTTATCAATTTAGTAAATAGACATGTATTTAACGTTTTTTAAAAAATATTTTAATTTTATGATTTAAATAGTAAAAATTATTTATTTAAATCTTAAATTATAAAAATACAATAAATTTTATAAATATAATATTTTTTATATTTTAAGCTCATATTAGTTTTGTTAAAATTAAAATATATATCTTGAATATTAAAAATTTATTCCAACGGTATGATTAAAAAAAATTGTCATGGCTATGTCTTCTCTTGCAAGAATTCGGCCTCTGGTGGTGGTGTGTACATCATCCACGTGTCGAAATGTGAGTGGACAGAAATATATAATAAATTCATCCTAAAAATGTTATTTTTTAACCCGCGAAACAGTCTCATGAGAAAGGCGCGTGCGGGTTTGGCGTATAATTTAAATATATATTTATAGGCGCGAAGCGACATCCTCACACATCGGCGTCTTCTTCTTCGTTTTCGTTCTTAGCCGCCATTTTCGCTGCTGCTCAGCTCAATTCTTCTTCACTGCGTTTTAGTGTTTTGCTTAGGTATCTGATTGTTAATTGTTCTTTTCTCAATGGGGGATTTCAGTCACCTGGAGAAGATGGGAAGAGAGCTCAAATGCCCAATTTGGTAACTCACTTCTCAATTGCTTTAGCGTTTTAATCATCTCGCTCTCTCCCTCTTTCTTTCTTTGTTCGAGTTTGATTTCCAAGAATTAGGATACTTTTTCATTTTCAGATTACAGATCATTTTAGTTTAACAATCTGAAAATGGCTCTTATGTTATTCTGGATTTGATTGTTGATGATGTATATTTATCTGATTCATGTGATTCATCTTTTTTATCTACTTCTTTCGTGAAAATTTCCGGAAATTCTCTGCAGTTTGAGTCTTTTAAACTCTGCCGCGACACTGGGATGCAACCACGTATTCTGCTAGTAAGCCTCCCAACACAACCGATTTCCCTTTCTGTTTAATTATCTGTGAAGACGTCGGCCGAAGGAATCCTATGGTTTTCTGAGCTCTTATTTTTTGTGAGTTTTAGTGTATGTATAGAGAAGTCAATGAAATCGGCTTCAAACTGCCCAGTTTGTAAGGTGCCTTATCGGCGTAGAGGTATGGTTTTCTTCACATTTGGAGGTCTTGAACTGCCTTATATCTCCATTTTACGAATAAAACTGGCATGCACATATCTGCTATTAATATCTGTTAGTTATGCTACGCCTCACATTCTGTTTCATTTCCTACAATCTCTTTTGGTTTTTGAAGAAGTTTCGTTGGCTCATTTTCTGACATTCTTTTTCATTAGGGAATAATTAAATGTAAAAATCAATGACCATTCATTCTAGGAGAATATATAGTGGTATTCCTTAAGAAATATGATTTCTGTCAAATTTTATCATGTCTACTAATTTTATTATTGCTGTTTCCAATCTTGTCTGCAGAAGTTCGTCCTGCTCCACACATGGATAATTTGGTGAGCATTTACAAAAGCATGGAAGCTGCTTCGGGAATGAATATATTTATTTCTCAGAATTTGTCTTCTGCTGAGTTATCTGGTAAGATCATCGATTCCATTTTCTTACTATAACCTCATGATCCGCAATGCAACTTATGCAATTTAAAATTTGATAGAATTTCTAATCACGCTCTTTCCTTTTGTTACTCCATACTGAAGATGGAGAGAATCAAGTGGAAGGTGATGGCAAAGGTTCAAAACGGCATAATGCAGAAACCATCGAGTTCATAGCTTATGAACAAAGTACTTTGGAAAAAGAGCCACAAAGGACACGAAAATCCAAGCGGAAGAATTCTGCTTGTTCCCCTGTGAAACCTTCATTTCCAAGAAAGAAAAGGGTTCAGGTGCCGCAGTGTCCCCTTTCAGAAACACCTACCCGATCTGCAAAGTTAGTACATAGTTTTAACAAGGAGAATGAAGAACCGAGAAAAAGTGCAGTTGCTTCGGAGAATAAAGGTCAGCCAGTGCTTTCGCCTTTTTTTTGGTTGAGAGAAAGAGATGAAGATGAAAAGTCAAATCAACAGTATGATATGGATCAGCCTACGGAATCAATGACAATGAACGTTCTTTCCTTCAGTGATATTAAGGATTCACTGGATGAAAGCCCTTCAAAGCCTTCAATGGTGAGTTTACTAGAAACATCTTGTGATTAAATCACTGTGGATATTGGTTACAAAGCAAGTACAACAAAGTATGCAATCATTCTCACAACTTTATGTAGTTTCAATATCTTCTGCACTTAAAGTAATGTTACTCTTCTACAATCATTTTGGAAATTTCTATAAAATACATGGACATTGAAACAACCATTAAGCTCTGATGTAGGCTGCAGGCTACACCTATTCAACCTCTCTTGTTATGTCATGTGTGGGCCTGCGGCAGCCTACAAACTTGACGTCTATTTTATTAGAAAAAGAGAAAGACACAAAGCTAGTAACCCTCTACATTTTGAAATTTCTGATTTTGCTTATTTTATCTCGTTTTCCTGATGTAGGAGGAAGTGTGCGACAAGCCATCCTACGACTTGGATCTCTTTGATAGTGAAATGTTTGAATGGACTCAAAGGGCCTGTTCCCCCGAAATTTGTTTAAGTCCCCTTAAACTGCAGGTATTAAAAATTTCATCATCACATCTGATAGACACATCAGAATTCCCCCCATACACTCCATTTAATTAATGCCATCAACGTGTGCAGGTTGAAGATATTGACAGAACTGAAATAGCATTATTAGCAGCAGCACCTAATGAAGAACCTAGGGTTCAAAATCTAAATGGAAGTTCTAATCACAGTGGTGGTATACCGGACGAGTTGGTGGTACCTGATGTG